AAAACGTTTATATGATAGAGAATTTTATTTTCTACAAAATGGTTACAATTTATTCAGTCAAAATGTAATGAATCACCCCTCAAAGCGGTCCTTTTCCGATATACCATCGGTATAAATTTTGCTCATTGCGGCGCTCAGTCACACGTTGACCTGCGATTGCGCATGCTCTTCGCTGACTCCGCCCCTGCGCTCAGACGCGTTTGTATGGCGAAGTGCGACGACGCCTTTGTATATCGCCCCTCTAACTGGCTGACCAACTTTGGCAATATTTCCCACCTCATTCTGAAACTAACTGTTCATTCCTGGTGCTAGTTGAGAACAACTGTTTGGCCGTGCGAGATTTCGTAGTGGAGTGTTTTGGTTGTTCATGAGATATTCAAGCAAGGCTTTATTTCTTGCTGCTATTGAATCCGATATGTTAGATGAAGACGAGAACGATGATAACATCTTCAGGTGGTGCCGCATATTGTTGCCTTGAGCATAAGAATATGAAGCGACCACCAAAGACTGCTCATCATCATCCAGCGAAAGGCAACATCGCGAATGGTGATCGAAGGACCAAAAAAGAATCGTTCATGTGGAAGATATACTATGTGACTATTTTGGTAGTGATTGTATCGATTGGTGCACAATACTATTATCATAATTACATCTATTTACCGGGTCTTATCTCACAAAAATCCGAATTGCCTGTGCTCGACTTGGGGTTGGATCGGGTAATCTTTTAATTGGTCAGCGGATGCTCTTTTTTTGTTCTATAACTTGTGATTGAGAAGGGTGTATTCGCCGTTGTTCATCATCGTTATTATTATTATTATTATTGTCATTATTATTATTGTTATGATTATATTATCATTGTCAATTATTGAGGTTATCAATTATTATTATCATTGTTATTAATCGTTATTTGTGTTGCTGTCATTAATATTATCATGTTATGTATAATGCAGAAGCAATGGGGCACATATCGATCTCATTTATACTTCGGCCTGCGTACTCCCCATCCAGATTCACCATTGTTTGGAATGATTTGGTACGAACAACCTGGTATGAATGTGATGGTTCCACCAGTAAGACATTGGTGTGCTCAAGTGAGTGTTTTGATAGGCATAGCATCGTCTATTATTGATCTTGTTATCGTTGAAGAATGAAGGTATCAAAAGTTTCGGTTGGAATCTGGCAGACGGTCGAAGTTTTGGCTGTCAAACCATTCGTGATACATCGTTTGATTTGAAAACAGATTGGGTTAATAAGCAACATTCGTGGACAGCTAGAGTTAGCACAGAGTCAACGCTCGACACAAAAGTGGCATTGATTTTTTATTTGCTTGTTCAGGTATCATTCAGGATCATTGTTATTATGTTACTATCATTTTTTTGTTATCATCATTTAGTGTGATTTTTTATCGCACTATTCATTGCTTTTGGGTAGTTTGCATTTTGTTATCACAATTGATAATGTTGTCGTTTAGGAAGAGGAATCGTATTTGCACTCTCTGAATAATGGCGCAGAGTTGTTGGATTCATTCAGTGGTTTTTCTCGGCTGCTTGGTAATTTCACGGTAAAGTTCGTTGCGAAAGCATCACCGAATCATGAACGTTCATTTCTGGCTGATCGTTCAAGTGAACATCTAGACATCACAAAGATTAAGGTTGCTGTCGTCATTCTTATTAGTGCACAGCTACTATTTTCAGTGAAAACAAACTTCTTGAAGGAAGCAAACTTTTCAAAGTTGTTTCGGGAACACAAGCTCTGATGCTGAGGAGGAAGCCGGAAGCCTCTGTTGGAGTTTAAGGATGAGTTCAAAAATCGGAATGCAATCATTCTAGGACATTTCGTATTCAAAAGTGTTTCGTGTATTTGAAATTTGTTCAGGAAACGATAATATCAGTAACGGAAGTGGATCGGAACTATCAAACACTTCGGTTGCCAAACAGATACATGAGTAATGAGGATATTGACGGTGATGAGCGGATGAAATTCATTGCCGTTCAGATTAATTTGCCTATGAATAGCAGCGTTGAGATTTCATTTGCGAACGATGAAACGGAACCACCGAGAAGTTTGCGTTGAAGTGTTCATTTCATCTCTTTTATGCGATATCCTTCTTGCATTCGTACAGACTGAATTCAATTGCTTGATTGCATTGAAGGTGAACAATTCGATACGATCTTGAAAGAGCGTACTGAAGCTTTCACTGAGAAATTCGAGCGTATTTTCGGTTTGGCTGCAAAGGTTGGCTGCATACTTCACTAGCTTTTGACAGTAATTGTTTCGATATTATCGCAGTTATTGAATTGAACAGTAAAATTTGACGACATGTTTTTGTTGAATTCGATTTCTAGAGTTATTCGGGTTTCTATCAATATATGGGTCGTTATGCATTATCGAATATGTTGGGTAGTATCGGTTACACAAGTGGCTTTAATCGTGTACAAAGTATTTTCTCAACAAAGCAATCGAAATACGGTAAACATGAATTGTTCACTTCATGCCCTTCACGCTCCACATTCCCGAGAGGTTTCCTTTGGGATGAAGGTTTTCATCATTTGCTCATACGTAAATTTGATCCTGAACTCTCGCTGCAAGTTAGTTGTCTTTGTTATTATTACTAAGTTTTGTTGATATTATGATTGGTTGTTAGTTATTATTATTGTTTATAAATGTGCCAGATAATCTCATCATGGCTGAACACGATGAATGCACAAGGATGGATACCACGAGAGATGATCTTGAGTGGGGAAGATGAAATGTTGGTACCGAATGAATTTTTGATTCAGCGGGATAGTATCGCCAACCCACCGATGTTCTTCTATCTGATACAAAGATTCTTAGATGATGAAGAGGTCGTATTTATTATTATTATTATTATTATTATTATTATTATTGTTTCATTTGTTTTGATTTTAGTTTATGCGAAGTCATCGTGATGGTTTGGTACGACTATATGCACGTCTTCGTCTTTGGCACGCTTGGTTGAATTCTACTCAAGTAGGGCCACAAGCAGGTACATATCGTTGGCACGGTCGAAATGCAAGCACGGACTTGGAGTTGAACCCGAAAACGTTACCGAGTGGATTGGACGATTATCCACGAGCAACGCATCCAACCGATCAAGTACTTTCATTTCAACAAATCATACGAAACGGCAAAGTGTAATTAATGTTGGATTGAAGCTTACTCGACGACTGATATGCTTTTCCTGTTAGCATAAGATTGTTTTGTGTATCTTAAGGAATATCATCTGGATATTCGTTCGTGGATGGCCGTCGCTGCCAAAACACTCTCACAGTTGGCCATTCTCGCTGAAGATGAGCTCGGTGCGGAAACTTATCGTGCGGATGCTGACTATTTGCAAGATATTCAACTACTTAATAAGTTACATTGGAGTGAAACTTCAAAACGGTTTGTTATTCACGTTTTAACTGTTTTATTTATTATAGCATACTGTTATTCTGTGCACTGCTGCTGTTTTTTTTTAAGGTATTGTGACTATGGATTACACAGCAGTCATGTTGAGTTACGTCGTCAAATGGATATGAAAGAATTTCAGTCGAAGTCCCAAAATCGAAATAATCCAAATATGCCACCACCTCCAATGAAGCGTATCGTTCATGACACACCAAAACTGGGTTTAGTTGAGAATACCTTCGGTTATTTATCGTTATATCCGGTCATGTTGAAGTTGTTGCCTCACGATTCAGACAATTTACGGATCATCTTGGAGAATTTACGTTCTGAAAAGGTACTGGTTATTGTTGCATGAGTTGTTGATTTCTTTATTCATGCAGTCAGCTGTCGCAGTATATATCTGTTTGTACGTCCCGTGCTTATTGTTAGCATTCTCCTTACAGCAACTTTGAAATGATTTGTGATTTATTTGTCATCAATCAGTTGTCATTAAGGATCTTTGGTCGAAATATGGCCTTCGTTCGATATCCAAACAATCACCGTACTATCAAGCGCATAATACTGAGCATGATCCACCGTATTGGCGTGGTGCTGTTTGGATCAACATGAACTATATGATGCTTTCTGCGCTAAAATATTACGCTTCATTAGCAGGACCGAATCAAGAAGTGGTTAGCTTCTTCACTGTTGTTGGAACGGAGCAATTATGATGAACATTACAGGCGTTTCATATCTATTCTCAATTGCGCAATAACGTTGTTGCAAATATGGTACGTGAATTCAAACGTACTGGATATTTGTGGGAGAATTATGCAGACGACGATGGACAAGGTCGCGGAGCACATCCGTTCACTGGGTGGAGTTCGTTGGTACTTTCGATAATGGCTGAGCAGTACGACTGAGTGATCGTTGTTGTTTTTATTGTGAAGGTATTACTGCTAGAGGCGTGCCGAATAGATTGTATTGTTCATTTGTTTATTGCTTTCGGATGATTATGATTACTAAGTCAGAATCGTGTTTTATTTCATCATAGTTCTCCTTCTCGAAATTTTCGTTTTCCCTTATGCACACAGCCTTAAGGGTATCATCACATTTCAGAACAGTACTGCTCACTTAAAATAAATATCCGTGAGTGTCTAGTATTTTGTCGTTATTGCTGTTATTATTATTATTATTATTATTATTATTATTATCATTAATGTTATTATGCTGATGAATATGTTTTCTTCTTTGAAGTTCATTTGATTGCAATTTCCTTTTGTTTTCCGCTATTTATTTCACATCACTTTTTGTTTGTTTGTTTTTTTTTTCATTCTTGTTATTGGGTGAATGTTTTTTTTTGTGATGCTTCTCGATGCATTGTTTCATTTTTTGCTGTTGATAATAATGATAATTGTAATAATAGCAGTAAATATGAATAATAATAAGAATATTGGAAATGCGAAACGACGACAAATTTGATTAGTTGTTGTTTGAAGTGAATGAACGCATTCAAAGATCATTGACAATTAGTGAGCCACTTACTCATAAGATGTTTAGAAAATTTATAGCGAGCAGAGAAGGAACGATGATCGCAGAACTGGTTCCTTTTGTGACGAATGAATCGATGAGATGTAATTGATCTCGTGCTCAATTTCCATGTTTATCTATGCTCAGTTGTGCACGAAGTGATTGTTTGTCACATTTATGAGACCACAGGTACATAGTCATTACTATGTTGTTAATTTTATGGTTATCATTATGATATATTGCAGTATGTTATAAATGTTATTGAGTGAGCAGTAAATTTATTTCCCATTGCCGTCGCTACACGCCAGTCACAAGGAGTGTTCGATTTGGAGGAGACTGACTATAAATTATGATTGATGGTCAATCATTTTATTCGCTTTTTATTTTTAATCAAACGATGTAAATTTTAGTTTGTGTTGTTATATATCAAAGTTTTGTTTTTGATTAAGAAATCTCAACGTTTTGAATTTCATCTAGACATTCGCTCCATGAAGATACGATTTTTGTAGTCCTTCGAATCAAGCCTTCTAAATCTGAATCACTTTTAAACATTTGTCGATTAGTGAACAAATACTTATTTTTCTCGATCAGTTGACTAATGCAGGCAAATTTTGGTAATAGAACAGTAGTAGTCATAATGATAATACTGCTAATAATAAAAAGACCAACTATGATGATAATAGTATAAGAACAATAACAACCACAATAAATAAAAGAAGTGGGTACTCAATGATATGCTGTAGTACTGATAATAACTGATAATGGAGACAAAGTGATAACATTGTACGTCTGACACACAGTCGTATAATAATGAACAATTTGTTTCGATCTACGTATCAGTTGATAATCTCACAGCTAGAATTGTTGATCGTCTTTGTGAGCGCCGTTGTCGATCTTGTAAATTCTCTTGAATTCCTTCAGAAGTATTTATTTGTCACTTAACGTTTTGATCTCATTGAAGGCTTCCTTGGACAGCTTATGTTTCATATTTTTATTTAGCAACGAACACACAAGACAGTCTTCCTTTTTGGAATGTGCTTCACAGGGACCACATCAGTCATATCTTGAAACTAAGTTCTCATCTGGCTCAGTGAGTTCAACCATCGAAAATTGCAGATGATCGTGACTGGAGTGGAATATGTTTCAAGTAGTGCATAAATGATACATTATGATCGTAACGCTTCATACAATTTTCTTACTGCCGTTGGTTTATTCACAAACCAGCGATATCTCTTTAAAAGTGAGTTCTTTGTACAGTGAAACGCATGTTTTCTATGAACGAATGTAGTGAATGTACGAATAATGAATAAATGAGTTATTAAATGAATGCGTACAAAATGATAATTAATATGAGTAATAATAAAACAGTCATATAATAATAATGGAGTTATATTTGAGGACAATCAACCCGAGATTGAAATGATCACATATGAAATAAAGCCATACGTTTCTGGTATTCGTGTAGTGAGTTTACCGAATGAAAATGGTTTCATCAGTTATACGTATGTTTAATCATAATAAAAGCTGTTATAATCATGAACACAATAATAAAATATAGTTGATTATAACTTATCATATACATATAATAATAGCAACGATCAAAGTAGAATGAATAACGGTCAAAAATAACGATGGCTTATTGTTGCAGTGAAGCAGGCGAGAGTTTGATCTATCCGGACACGAAAGTTCGTGTTGTTTTATTCGGTTATCACTTGGATAAGATCGGCGTTATATCGTTGACGATTGATAATTGCTTCAATTCATTGATCAATATAACGCATTCTGAATTTCTTATTCAAACTGTTAAACGTCTCGACTTTTTGGCATATTTTGTCGAGTTTGTCACTTTTTTAATGCTTCATCACCTTCTCAAATTTGAGCCATTCCACTAAACAAACCATTATGACATTATCGGTTTTTCTTCAACGCGAACTCTGATCAAAGAAATCATTCAACATTAAACGATTGGAATTTTCTTATTGAAAAGGATATGCCCCCAAAAGAAAATCTAACACTTTATCCGTTCCTATACACAAAAAGATCTATTCAGCTGGTTATCAAAATACACTCTTTATCAGCCAGTTAAAATCGCTCGTAATTATAAAAATAGGTTCATTCGATCATTTCACATAAATTCATATCAGAAATGTTATTTGTTATCATGTTGTTATAATAGTTCCATCATGCAGAAAAGACCAACCATACCGAATATGTTATAAAGAAAGAAAAAGTGGTAAAGAGTCTGAAGAGGAAGAAGAAGAAGATATGATAATGGTTGGTGATTGAATGAACTGTTCATTTCATGACTACTTTCTGAAGGTATCCAAAATGAAAAGGTTTAGATCGATGAAACTCGTGCATGGATCAGTACAGAAACACCGACACGAATCTATTATCTGCCATTATATCTACAAATCGGTATTGTTTTTGTGCTTTTCTGCTTATCGGCACTTTTCTCTGGACTTAATCTCGGACTTATGGCTCTATCACCACAAGAGCTGATGCTCATCCAGAAGTCAGGTATGCATAGACCCTCAAATCAGTACTCGTTTTATTAATCAACAAACTCAACGTTACCTTTCAAACAAATTGTTTCTTTTACATTGATCCATTCTTAAAGGATCAGCAAGTGAACGAAATTATGCAGAAACGATTCTACCGGTACGCCAGTCTGGTAACTATTTATTGTGTACGATATTAATAATGAATGTGGTCGTAAATGCGGCTATATCAATTCTATTCGAAGATATGACTAGTGGAATGTTAGCGTTCATTATTGCGTCGGTTGGAATTGTGATCATTGGTGAGATTATTCCACAAAGTATTTGTGTGAAGTTAGTTTGTGTGGAATCTTATTGCTTGCACATCTCACAGAAAACTGTAAAAAAGTGTTGTGCCATTTTCTGTGTTATTTATCGCTTTCATAAGAAGTTTCTCACCTAATTACTCGTATGCAAAAGTGTGAATGATCCAACGAGAAATTTAACAGCTTCGTTGATTTCAGAAAGGGTTTAGCGGTTGGTGCGTATACAATTTGGTTAACAAGAGCGTTTATGATTCTCACTTTTCCACTTTCGTATCCAATCAGTAAACTTTTGGATATATTTTTGGGTGAAGATACACCTGTTTATGATCGCAACAAGTAAGTGTACGTACGTATGTTGTATGTTCATACAGGCATTTGGTTTTGAACGAACGAAGCAAATGAGCGAATATTGTTGGGTTAACGTAAAAAGAGAGAAATTATTAGTTGTTTTTATTGATTTATTTAGGAGGCTCAAAGCACTTCAGTTTCAGATTAATTAATTTGATGAAAATGACGACCAGTGAAGAAAATCAAGATCTAGCGGCTGATCTCAAAATTGCCGTCGGTGCGATGGAAATTTCCGAAAAAACTGTGGGTGATATCTTAACCAAAATCGAGGTGGGTAATATGGTTAAGAAACACTCTCATAGTTGTTATTGTTATTCATCCACCGGTAGGATTTGTTATTCCATTATTAATGTAGGTTTGATCACTCCAAAAAACTCCTTCAGTAGAAGATCTGCAGCATATGAATGGATGGATAATCGATGTCGGCCTTGCTTCATCCAGCTAGAACGATTCGTTTTCATTGAAGTTTCCGGAGTTATTTCAAAAATTTCAGGATTTCTTCCCAAAAATTTTAGGATGTGTTCATGTTACCTGAAAATATTAAATTGGATGCAACGAATATTGCTGAAGTTATTCGTCACGGTTATACGCGAATACCGGTTTATCGAGTGAGTAATTGTTTTTGAAAAGTTTAATCACTAGGTCTTAATTATTGTCATGATTGGAAGTTACTCTTCACTTTTCGATATTCTTATAAATGTTGTTGGTTGCTTTGGAGACACACATTTGAAAAGAAGAGCAAATAGGACTTTTGGAGTGGAAGGGATATATTTCTGCATTGTTTCAGGGTGAGAATCGTAACGATATTGTTTCGTTATTAATCGTTAGAGATTTGGCGCTAATAGATCCGGATGATAATTTTAGTGTAAAAATGGTTTGTGATTTCTATAAACATCCACTTCGATTCGTCGATCAATCAACACCATTGCATTCGATGCTTGAAGAATTCAAAACGGTTCGTTCATATATCTTTGATTGCTCGATTGCTGATTTTCATATGTTTATCGATCTTACAATTAGAGCCGCGTTTTGAACAGAATGCTTTCCAGGGCGATTATCATCTGGCTATCGTCCTATCGGCCACAAGTCGACTGGACGCGAAGAGCGGAAAACAGTGCAAAGAACCGATTGGCATTGTCACTCTCGAGGATATTGTCGAGGAAATATTACAGGCTGAAATCGTCGATGAAAGTGATACAATCACTGATAATGTTCATCGAACGACCAGAAAATACACCAAGGTTCATTTGATACCAATAATTTTCTGATGTTTATAATAATAGCAGTGATTCATTGAAATCAACAATATTGTATTTGAAGGAACCAAATGTGACAAAGATTTTAATGTTCGAAGAAAAATGTAATCCATTATCGGTGCAAATGGAGGTGATGACATCACATTTCTTGAGCAGTCACCATGAAATTTTTACGAGCGATTACGTGCACGAACGAGCCATTTCACACTTAATGCGTAAAAATATCCGACAGGTCATTTGAAATTTTCATCAATTTTTGCTTTGCGATAGTATTTGCTTGCACTTCATGGTCACCTCTAAAAGTTGAAAAAGTTTCAGTGGAAGTTAAGGCTAGCAGTTGAAGTTACTAACAATTTTGAATTGAATTCTCTTCCAGATGACTGGATAATCGTTCTTTTCAGATAGATTTGTCACATTCTCCTCGTATTTACGGGAATAGAGCAAAGAAACAAGAAACAATCGCCATATACCGTTCCAATCAACCATCGACTAGATTTGTCGTGATCTTGGAAGGGCGTGCAACGGTCAAATTTCGTAATGTATGTTGCCTTCCATTCGATGTTTCGAATGGTATGTACTGACTCTTCATAATATTCACTCGTTATTTTATCGTTGCTTCATTGTTATTTCAGATGGAATTCGAAGCAGGTCCATGGAAGTGCTTCGGTACCGAATTACTGGATCAAATTGATGAGTTACTCAATGATGACTCTTTTGAAGGCACTCAGTGTGGTTTTTCTACCGGTTTGCGTTCACTCGTTGTGTCGTTTCGTTTTTTATTGATGATATTTTTGCAAGAATTCATAATTTTCGAAAAGCATTCTAGCAATACTTCACATAAAAAACATTTTCTTATTTTGAAAACAAATTAAGGGTCATCTTTGATCACAACATTGATCAATTCAATACAGTTCACACCCGATTTCGATCTAATCGTCACCGAATTTTGTCGTTTCTTGCAAGTAACCGTGCCGGCCTACTTAAACGCCTATCATGTTACATGTATTGCACGAGCGGCACGGTATATTTTCATTGTTTGAGTTTCTCTCACTGATTGCTTTTCAAATGATATGTTTTGTTAACATTAAATATTGCCATTATAGTGATAAGCATATTAATATGATGGGTCCTCTAATCAAGGCATCGCTACGCTCAGATATTTCAGATAGAATGCAACGAGTTTCTGAAACACTTCTGAAACGAAACGTGAGTGCTTTTTTTCAGAGATCCTTTTCAACTGAGTGCTAAATAAAGTTACATCATTAAGTGAGATCTTTTTTCTTTTGCGTCTTCAGCCGTAAGCAATTTATCACTGATTCGTTTGATTTCAGAGTTCAAAGAGCAGTTTCGACCCGCCGGGCAGTCGCAAGGAAGTTGTTGAAAAACGACGATGCCATAGTGATTTTGGCAAACATTTACCATCTATTTCGTCTATTACCAAGCAATAATAATATCTGTTAGCATTAGTGATAACGATAGTGATAATAAAACAGCAGTAATTGTAATGATAGCCAATCGTTAATAAAGAGAGCCAATTGTGAAAAATGTAATCAGTTCTGAAAACAATTACCCTAATACCTCGTACTAATTCAGGTCCGTCGGAAATGAGAAGGAATGTACATCCACCGCCCCCTCTCAATCAATAATAGGTTCTTTGAAAAAGTCTGCTTCGCGCCCATCTACCAGGCCATTCTAACCCTCCGTTTACGAAAATGCTGGGAACGGGACTGCATTGACTGATATTTCTATAAATTCGTAAATCAATTGTAGCAAAGGTGATATTGTGTGATGTATGTAATATATCATATATCATTGTAATGATTTAACACTTTTAACATTCCTGCGACATTTTGACTTAACATTTAACACTTAACATTTCTTTTCACTGCGACAATTTGATAATGTGATGCTGACATAAATAGAGGACCAGTTATTAAGATAATGAATTTGTTGTAAACGTTGGAGAAGGAGTTCGACTGTGTTGCACTCTTGATTCGATTCAATTCAAATGTTTAAGCAGTCAACTTGGACGGCTGCTTTTAACAAGCAGCAACGGCAGTGAAAACGAATCGAAAGTGGAACTGTTCACGTTCGTCATCATCATCATTTTATTATGCATCCTTTTATCATAAATGTTCCTTTATGGTGTCGACTTGTTTGCTCATCGCATCGCATTAATTATAAAGTTGCATTTTCGAATTGGCAACGATTACGAAGAAATTCTTTCAGCGAATCAAATTTATTTATTGAAATAAAACAAAAATTGACAATGAAAGTCAAATGGAACTTTGAATAAAATCGATTTATTTAAAATTACTTCATATAACAAGTACATGTTATAAGTAGGCAACTGAAATTTTATGGTCACTTCCGTAAGTCAATGCTATAGGATACTTTCGTAAAAATTAAATTTATTCACACTGATTAAAATCAAGGTAAAAGAATTGTTCTTGATGCGAACATGAAAAAGATTGAGAATATCATGAAGAGAACATCATGTAGTTGTGCTACAGCGCCACGCGATTGCACGACGGAACAATTCAAATCGGAATCTGAAAACGATACTCAAATTCAATTAATGTTGTATGGATACTTGGTTGTTACATAGATACTATGTTACATGTTTATTCATAATTATGAATTCAGTATGCAATAAGCAATAAAAACGAACCCATGCGATAACTAAGAAGCATTCCTTTGTTGACACCTCCATTGCTACGGTATATCACGGACAAATGTTTCACACAAACTGATTGGCTGTATGACGGACGAGAGTTATTACCTAATAAACTGCAATTATCATACGTACTTAATCAGCAAATCAATCGTGCAATTGAAGAAAGTTTGAAAACGAATTACACAAACGATAAGTGAATAGAGATTTCGGATACTTCTCGTTCAGGGTCGATTTTCCATCAGAATCACCAAATAGTTGAACTTGACAATTATTGATTCGATTTGCTACTTCCAACTTTATTCCCAGAGCTGATGATGATTCCATTGATAGTTCATAGCGCTGATAAATTCGCCTGAAATTTATACCAGTTAGGCGTCTATGCATTCAAATATATTAGCCACAATACATTGATCTAGTTGATTGATACTGCAAATTAGGATTGCGTCGAGGACGAAACCAACTCCGAGGTCTATCTAAGATATAGGAATCAGGGTCGAGAACTTCTTAGGTACTCGAAAACCTGACCCATACAACCCTATTGTGAATGAATATCACATAATGAACCAACCCAAGGTCGTCGTCAGCCAAGTAATCCGGTGAGTACAGATACCCATGTGATGTTGTTGAAAGTGGCGCTAATGTATAGTCGCGTACTGAAAAAGTATGTATAGTCGCCTACTGAAAAGTAAAAAGTATCGTTACATAATCCTAATATTTTCAGTAATGAAGAAACCTAATATCGAAATAAAATTAGATAATTCATTTAATTTATTTAGTCAGCAATTAGAACTCATTACGAGTTCATGCCTCTTTGTTATCATCAGTATCACTAATATTCGATTATTGATTAAGCGATCACAGAGGTTTTGGTGTACTCTCTCATAATCGAGCATTGAAAATAAATTAGATAATTGTTTGCAGATTACTGACGCATTGTTGTCGACCGGACACGAATTCTGTTCGGTGCATTTGTGGACATATAAACAAACGTTAAATCATCACCAAAAACGAAGCTCGGATATGGATATGAACTGAAATAAGCGAGTGGGTGCGTTAGCAGTCGGTTCATTAGAAAGAGACGAAGAATGGACGAGTGGATTTGATAAAGCTGCACTCGAAAGACAGCTGATCAAATCAGTGAATTCGGTTGGTATTGTGAAACGAAAACTGATTGGTTTGTATGAATGTTGCTTACTTGGTCAATAGATTCTGAGGGCGATTTGTAATGCCTTTGTAGAGTTGAACGTTGGGATTATCACTGGCGACTCGCAGTGCTAAACCAGATCGAATTTGTCGTTGTTGTTGCAGAGGAATGTGATGAAGAGCAGTTGTGCACAGTCGTGCGGTAGTTTTGCGTGTTGTTTTTGGTAATTTTGTTACTGGTTTTGTTGTTGGTATTTCTGGTGTTGCAGTTGGTAACGTTGGTTTTGTTGTTGGTATTTCTGGTGTTGGTTTTGTTGTTGGTATTTCTGGTGTTGGTTTTGTTGTTGGTATTTCTGGTGTTGGTATGTTTGGTGTTGTTATTTCTGGTGTTGGTATGTTTGGTGTTGTTATTTCTGGTGTTGCATGGCTAGTTGTAGGGGTTTGCCTCTCAAATACTAGAATTGCCTCCGAAGTGAATGCTTGAACTAGCGGTTGAGAGCATTGCTCGGCTGAAATGCTAATTGATCATTAGTTCAGGTATCAGTTGATTCAACTATCGAAAGTCTTACAATAATTCTCAAATGAATTACCATAGGTCACATCGACAATATCCGAAACAATCCCAAAAAACGTGAAATAATTGAATGATGATGTCAACAAGTTGTTTATTTGATCAGTGCCAATAAGTCGGAACATCAAATCACTTCCACTGCTTTGTAATTCGTTAGTTGAATCCACTGCGTTACTACTGTTGTATAATGCACTTGAAAGATGCACTCGTTTAATAGTTTTGATACAATGATAATTACAATTGCAGTCACATTCAACTAGGTGTCAATGAAGTGTTCTCACCTCGTATCCAACAACATTGCATCGATGGTTGCGCCATCAAAAACATCTATAAGAATGCCAGTATTGTACAATGAACCAAATGTGTACAGATGAATCGTACGATTTCGCGTTGATTTTACGTGCAACATGAAAGAATATCCAGCACTGATATTTACCGTGAAACTTCGCAAGTTTTCCTCGAGTACAATCTCTTCTTTACGATTATAAACAACTGGAAATCAATTTTATTTCCGCATTTATTGCGTCAGTAAAGAGTTATAATCAAATAAATGAGCGGAGATATGATTTAATACGAACTTCGCTTTGATTCAACAGCTAATTCGAAACCGTTTATCGGATTGGCACTGAGTACTTGCATATTTAATGGAATTGATTGAAACTGAAATAATACTGAACCGCTTGAAACTGTTGAGATCAGTTTTGGTGAGTTCGAACTTGAAACGGCGGACAGACTGAAATAATTGAATCAACGATAAGCACCAACATAATCGGAGAAGTCTATTCAGCCATACATCTTTAGTATTATAACTATTATTTTTGTTGTTCACATGGTATAGGGATGCTCTGACAGATGACAGAGCATTTTGGCCGCCAGCAGTTGAACTAGTCTCACGAACCTTGCAATCACACTGTGATTGTAATCGAAAATTGTCAGTGTATCACTCATACGTAAGCCAACTGAGTGTGACGTGACTTCAATAAGATCATTTCGTGATGCTTTGAATCCCCATTCACAATTCAAATTCGGACAATAGCTGGGTGCTGAGTCGAAGCCAGGTGATTTGATCCAATATCTTCTGCCATTCACCATTTGAGTCGATGAATTACCACAAGCACAATCTGTAAACTAGTCACTTTCGATCAGAAGCAAGTCAACCGCAGCTGTACAATGCAGTCAATTCGATTCATTATTGTATGCACTTTCAAGTACACATTTAATTCTGGAAATACCTATATATTATAACATTAAACACATGTGAACTTTTCTAGTCCAGAGTAGGGTTTGCACGGAATCTCGGAATCAGTTCTGATCTCGATCACAGGATTTAAGTTTTGAAAAATCCTGGGATTTCGGGATTTGATAAAACAGGTCAATTTACGTGAATTTTGATAGTATGCTGATCTTGAAGCAAGCCTTAATTATTCCCAGAGACGCAAATTGAACGAATGACATGATCAACGACAGCTCGATGAAATTTTACGTAACATTTCATTAAGTATTCAGCTGATTATTCTGCTCTTCGTTGGTTTATATCACACTCATCTGGATGCATTTCTAAGTAGACTAACAGAAATAATTACATTTTCTAATAAGAACCAAGAGCAACAAATTTCAGCGGGATTTTGAGTCGTTTCCTCCAACGCGATTTTTTCGGCTTTAATATTCCTGTCAATTCAACTGCATGTTCTAAAGACTGCAAGTCTTTTTACTTCGCTAATTGGAAACATTTCCATCCGATCGAAATGTACATTAATTCTCACTGGGTTCACTCATAGTGAGAATTCACTGTCGAAGTGAGGGAAATTGTTCCATTCAAAAGGATCTTAAACCTAACTATCAAGTACTGTTCCATGATTTCTGATCGAAATTATCAAATATGTAAGTGCTCGATGGTTCGATGAAAATCCATTGCGATTTTTTTTTTCACTTTTTAGATAAACTCTGAACTTTTAATTTTTTCAAAATTCGAATGATATAATTCATGCGATGCATTTCTTTCGTAAAACATCGAAATTTCCGAAATGGCAGAATTCACTTGACGTTAATACTGCGAGAAAATGGACTTGAAGCACTGCAAATAAGTGTTTGAGAATCAAGAATTTCATATTCACATGCAAGTGTACCGTTATTAGCTTAGACCCGAGACGACAAGACGCCTTAGCATAGAAAATGCAGTATGCCTTGCGGCATGACCATTAGCATCATTATATGAAATATTAATTTGAACTTGAATAATTTGGTTCCTCGAACTTGTTCAATAATTTGTTGAATTAACTCCTTTCTGATTAATAATGAACATATTGGTTCGAAAAGATGTGTTTGAA